AGGGTGGGGGAGGGCGCCCGGGCGGCGACACGGAGCGCCTCGGCGCGGCCGCTCCGGAGGTTGCAAGACCCGGGATGCTGCGAGCCCCGGGGGTACCAAAGACCCGGCAACCGGGGATGCTGCGAGCCCCGGGGACGGTAAATTAAATCACCGGGATCCGGGAATGCTGCGAGCCCCGGGGATGCCCGAGCCCCGGTATCCAGGGATGCTGCAAGCCCCAGAGGTGGTAAATTAAATCACCGGGATCCAGGGATGCTGCGAACCTCGAGGATGCCCCAGCACCGGGATCCGGGGCTGCTGCGAACTCCAGGGATGGTAAATAAATCACCGGGATCCAAGGATGCTGCGAGCCCTGAGGATGCCCGAGCACCAGGATCTGGGGATGCTGCAAGCCCTGGGAATGGGAAAATAAATCTCATCGGGACCCGGGGATGCTGCAAACCCCAGGGGTGGTAAATAAATCGCCGGGATCCGGGGATGCTCTAAGCCCCGGGATGGTAAATCACCGGACACCGGGGATGTTGCGAGCCCTGGAGATGGTAAATAAATCACCGGGATCCGGGGATGCTGCGAGCCCTGAGGATGCCCCAGCACCAGGATCTGGGGATGCTGCAAGCCCTGGGGATGGGAAAATAAATCGCCGGGATCCAGGGATGCTGGGAGCCCCAGAGATGGTAAGTTAAATCATCGGGACCCGGGGATGCTGCAGACCCCGGGGGTGGTAAATAAATCGCCGGGGTCTGGGGATGCTGTAAGCCCCGGAATGGTAAATCACCGGACACCGGGGATGTTGCGAGCCCTGGAGATGGTAAATAAATCACCGGGATCCAGGGATGCTGCGAGCCCTGAGGATGCCCGAGCACTGGGACCCAGAGATGCTGCACGCTCCTGGGATGGTAAATAAATCAGCAGGACCTGGGGATGCTCCAGATCCCAGGGATGGTAAATTAAATCACTGGGACCCGGGGATGCCCTGGGGATGGTAAATCACCGGCACTCGGGGATGCTGCAAGCCCCAAGGGTGCAAAAGCACGGGGACCTGGGGATGCTGCGAGCTGGAGGTGACCGAGCACCTGGAGGTGATCGAGCCCCTGGACCCAGGGGTGCTGCGAGCTGCTGTTTCACCCCCGGGGATACCAGAGCAGCAGGACACGGGAGACGTCACATGCACAGGACCGTGGTGACACTGGAGCACCAGGACCCCCAGGGGTGATGCACCCCAGGGATGTGCAAGCCAGGGAGCTCCCAGACCCAGGGATGCCACACCACTGGGGACACGTCAGCACAGGGGCCACGGGGGGGTCCCGCTGCCGGACAGGGGCTCCGAGCACCCCGCAGCACTGGACCCCCTGTCCGGGCTCTCACCGCAAACCCGCCTGCAGGGCGAGGCACAGCCAGCACCCGCTCCAAGCCCCCTGCACCCCCGGGCCCAGCTGACACCGGTGGCTGGGGGGTGGGGGGGGGGGCACGTTCCCGCTGCCACCCCCTTCCCTGTCCCCCAGAGCAGAGGCGGGGGCTGTCCCCTTGTCACAGCCCCTGCGTGCTGCCGGCTGGCGAGGACAAGGGCGTATGGGAAGGAAGAAGCCGCTGCTCAGGCTCAGTAAGCGAGGGGCTTCCCACAACCGTGACCACGCACGGGGACACCGTGACAGTGGCACAGGGACCTCCGTGCCACGAGGGGGGTCCCCCCCAGCCGCAGAGCCAGGCACC